GGGGGGGGGTGGCCTCCCACATTGAAGTAAGCAGCTATGGCATCTTGATGGCTATGGGAGGCCCTTCTTGTGTTCCTGAAGCACCAATTTCTCCTCAACATTGTCCAGGGAACACATTTCCATTTTCCTGCAAAGGGAAGGTATGAAGGGCAACCCCCATAAGGGGTTTTCTTTCTCCTGCAAACAGGAAAAAGCCACCAAAAGAACACTCAAAAAACTCCAGAGGATCCATGGACCTGAAGAGTGTTCACACAGGTGTGGTGACAAAAGCCTCTGTTAGTCACAGGTCTGGTGTCTCAAGAAAAGAGGCAAGGGGACACAAGGGAGGAGGGAAAGGACTTGGCAGGGTAAAGGCTCTCACTAGCCACATGCACTGACATTCAAATACATTTCAGACTCGCTCGAGGGTAAATTTCTGGTAGCTGTAATTTATTTAAGAAACCAGTGATTTGGGGTAATTTGCCTTAAGAAGCTAAGTAAAGTGGTGCTGCGATGTGCTTAGGGCCACTGTGCTGGGTAAATCCTGTGACCCAGCAGGGTGCCCACGGCACAGACACAAGGCTGAGTCACTCCTGCCCACCACGTCTGAGGAGGAAAGAGCAGCTGAGAGTGAGTAGGCACCTCTTCGCTGGCAACCACCTTACGTGCATTAGAAGCAGAGAAACTGCTCAGAAGGAAATCGCTGGATTATTTGAAGGCTTCAGATCCTCATGTCTTCCAGAGAGACCTCCCCTGGGCTCTAGTCTACTTTGCAGTTTAGGTACAAAGTGTAAATTAAGAACAGCAAAGAAGGTAACAAAACATCTGCCTCGATGTCTCACCATGCCTTGAGCGACAGCCTGGGTCATCTGAAGGTCTGAAGTCAGCCCTGGCCATTTCCCTGGAGACTAAGCCACACTTGAGAGGGTCTGTGTAACCACACAGCCATCCACAAGTCCCTCTCTGCTCTGGCGAGAAATGTTTCCAAGGTACGGTCTTGGGAACCGCTGGCCCTGAATGAGGCTGGGATGCCACCGTCCCCTCTCTGCCCCAAAACATCCCCCCAGACACACCAGCTGCGCAGAGCTCCCCCTTGCCACTGTTTACACAGGCTCTCAACACGGTGGGACGGTGATAAGGCCAGGGCATTTCCCCTTTTCCTTCCATAACAAGGCGGGAGGAAATCAGCTTTAAGTCAGCGATTCCTGTGGAGGCGCTCCGTAACCACAGTCTGCGATTTTTATCGGCTTTACACACAAGATTGCTTTGTTTTGATTTAACTTTCAAAATTACTCTGCTCCTTCTTGTGTGAGAAAAATTGAAGGGAAGGTTAATTTTGGTGTAGAATAATATTAATAGGCTGAAAGAAGCTTATTCAAAATAAACCACAACTTACTAAAATGAAGAAAGTACATGCTGTGACAGATATCTATGGTGGGAAGTCTCGTGCCAGCCTGGTGTCCTCACTGCCCCCAGTGTCCCCAGAATGAGGCTGCTGTGTCCATGGTCAGAATAATACACATCAAGGGGCCAGGTCGCATGGGGCGGACCCCAGTTGCTCACACTTGGCAGCATCCAAGGGAAAAATCTCCCACTGCCTTTGCAGGACACAGGGGTGGGGGGCCCAGGAACTCTCAGCAGAGGAAAAGACCGGCCCTGAAGAGAGAGGAGACAATGATGCATCTCCTCTCAGACAGCGGGTGTGACAACAGGACGCGGCTCACTCTGCGTAAGTGAACCACTGCCTTGGACAATGTTCAATGGAGGAAGCTGTTAGCACTGACTCCAAAGGGCCGCGTGTCAGTCCAGAAAGCCCTGACAGCTGGCACAGCAGCCAAAGGTGCCCCTGCCCAGAACACTCGGCCTGAACTGCGGGGAACAGAGGACAGAGGCTCCTGTGCTGAAGCCTGGCTGTCCTGACACCTGGGGCGCACAGCCTGGGCAGATGGCCCCAGAGCTGCAGCCAGGTAAAGAAGAGGAACCATGCAGCTCTGCAGGTGGCCAAGAGCGACAGCTGCTCAGAGCTGCAGTGACTGTGGCTGCACCCGGGCCTTTGGTTTTGGGTGACCCAAAGGTTGAGGGGTGAGCTCAAAGTAGCACAGGCCCTGAGGTTCTGGGCAAGACAACACATCCAAGACAGAACGTGGAATCGGGCCCGCAGGTGACAATCCCTGCATGTTGGGACCAGGAGTGAAACGCCGGTGCATGGGAGGGACAAACTGGACACGGGGCTGGCATGCGGGGGCAATTCGGGTGCTGAGGCACGAGGACAGGAGAAACGCACCACGGGGGTAGCAGGCCAGAACCTGCTTCCTGTCCACACTCTCTTACTCAGCTCCAAGGGGCATCTGGGGACTGAGGGCACATTTATGTTCCACCATGCCTACGCTGGGTACTACCTTTCCTGATTAACAGTACTGAAAAAAACTAAGAAGTTCCGTTTCCCTCAGTGTGGGCTGAACTGTGTCCCCAGATTCACACGCTGCAGTCCGAGCCTAGGGCCAAAGAATGTGCTGGACATGAGATGGCCTCAGTAATGGGACTAGGATGAGCCCTAGCACAAGTGTCCACACAGGATGAGCCAGTAGACACACAGGGATGACCACACCAGGTCACGGAGAAGGTGGCCATCTAGAGGTCGAGAACTGTGAGGGGCCTCAGACCTTTGGAACTTCAAGGGGCAGGTTTCTACTGGCAACGTGCTATGACTGCCCTAGCAAACCTTTCATTCTCCATCCATTACTGTTTTATGTGAAAATGACACTACTTAGGCCAGATGCCAGTACCTATTTTAGTCCAAGCAATGATGCATTTGGATAAAAGGGTACTTAAAAATAATCCAAATTTGCTACTAAGTACAAACACCTTAAATGCCCATGTACAGCAGCTTCCTCCCTCCCTGCACATATATCACCAAGTCCCAAGTACCCCAGGGTGGAGCCCCCTCCTGCTAGGAAATTTTGTCCGTGTCTAAATTAGTAGCTATACAAGGGATGGGTCATTTGGGGAAACTGATTCTCATGGATGCCCCCACGGCCACAGCTTTGTGTTTCTCTCCAGGATCCCTGATGGCCCAACCCCCCCCAAGCTCCCAAAGGCTGCTTGATCATAGCGGGCTAGTTTCACAGCATGCGTCTGTGTATCCACCCGGCATGCTGTGATCCCTGTGTCGCCAGCACAAGATAATAAACCAGATTATATGACAGGGACAATACAGAGGTAAATGAGATGGCAGAGAACGTTTGCCGGGAGAGGTGGGTGGAGAAGCTGGGCAGGAAGGCACCAGGGTTAATCCCTTCTAGACTGACAGGAGTGTGGCCTGCAGCAGAAAGCTGGGTGCGTACAATAAGTGGTGAGAAAGGCTTTCACTTCTCATAATAAACCAGGACAAGTAAGGACACTGAGATGTAGGACTGTGTCCCCTGGACTAGTTCCCCATTGGGGTGACAAAGGACTTGAGTCTCCAGGTCCCTGTGGGGCAGGCCCAGGTATTCTGCTCCTAAGGTGCAAAATGATTCCCAGACAGATCTCTCCATGTCCACAGGACATAGGTGACACAGATCCGGGTGGCCACTGGGGAAGGGGATGGGCCAGAGGAATGCCTAAGAGTGGGGCTCAAGCTTACTTCCCAGGGGAGCAGCCCGTGCAGTGAGGAGCACTAAGAGGGAACAGCAGCATGGATGCCTCAGACACCCCATGGGCAGGAGGACGACCGGACACAACCACCAGTCACCACTGCAGCCCACGCCCAAGAACCATCTTCAAGTCACACGTGGAAAAATCAAGTGTGAGGGGAACTTAATTACATCTTAATGCCAAAACACTGATAGCAAAACAATGCTTTCTTGCTCCATCCAGGGAAGCAGGGCTCGGGAAACAAAGGGAAACTTGACTCTAGGTTGCCCAAGGGACCTAGGCAGGTGGATACCAGCATCCTAAAGGCTACAGCTCTAGGCTTGGCTTCCTTCTCCTGAAGAGGGAGATGAGCTTGGCCTGTATTACTCAGAACAGTCCTTCAGATCCCAGGTGCCCAACCATGGGGATGGAAGAACCACCTGCTGCCACTGCTCCTGGCAGTCAAAGTGACAAAGGAAACATGACAGTATCTCTATCATCCTATCAAAGCCAGTTCAATTTCAAATTCTCAGACACAAAAAGTCTCGTACGGGGATACTTACCACAACTCAGGTGAACAGGCATGTAACTTGTTCCAGAACTTGTTTCTTTCCATTTCAACCCTAATGCCTAAGATGTCCTAGCTTTGTTCCCCCTAAGTAGTTTTACTAACAAGAAGCGGTAATATTACAGGAAACCAGATTTTCGGCTGTGGAGAATTCTGACAGAGGGAATCTCTGCCCTAGATCCAGGCAATGAGAAGGACATGTCTGCCTCTGTAGTGCTCAAGAGGAGCATCCAGGGCTGGAGAACACTGTACTGTTGCTCCCAGGCCAGAACTGCCCTGCCACCCCACCTGGTGTTCACACCTCACGGCCCAGCAGTGTTTATTTACACAGCAGCCAAGTGGGACTGAGGTCAGGTGGAAGGGCCAGCAAGGAGCGAGCACCACATGGGCCTTCTCTCTGCCGTCACACCAGGAACTGAAGTCCACGAGTGTCTCAGCTCAAATTGCAGAGCTGGTTCAATGCCTGCTGCTCTTATCATGTTGGGCAGACATCAGCCAATGTCTATTTATTACCACGGCAACAAGGGCATTTCATTTACATAGCTTCTGCTTAAAAGCTTAGATGTCACAGAGCAGTGTGTCTGTGTGTGTGTCTGGGTGGTA